GGGAGTTCTGTGGAGAGGGACCTGGGTGTCCTGGTGGACGACAGGTTGGCCATGAGCCAGCAGTGTGCCCTCGTGGCCAAAAAGGTCAATGGCATTCTGGGGTACACCAAAAAGAGCATGGCCAGCAGTTTGAGGGAGATGATCCTCCCCCTCTACTCTGCTGTGGTGAGGCCTCATCTGGAGTATTGTGCCCAGTTCTGGGCTCCCCAGTACAAAAAAGACAGGGATCTCTTGGAAAGAGTCCAGCGGAGGGCCACAAAGATGGTGAAGGGCCTGGAGCATCTCTGCTATGAAGAAAGGCTGAGTGAACTGGGTCTATTCAGCCTTGAGAAAAGAAGACTGAGAGGGGACCTGATCCAGGTCTATAAATATCTGAGGTGTGGGGGGGCAGAATGGTGAGGCCAGTGTCCTTTCAGCAGTATGTAGAGACAGGACAAGGGGAAACGGACATAAGCTGCAGCATAGGAACTTCTGCACAAACGTGCACAAGAGCTTCTTTCTGGTGAGGTGACGGAGCACTGGAACAGGCTGCCCAGGGAGGTTGTGGAGTCTCCTTTTCTGGAGACATTCAAGACCCACCTGGATATCTACCTGTGCGACCTGGTGTAGGGAACCTGCTGGCAGGGGAGTTGGACTCGCTAGTCTCTGGAGGCCTCTTACAACCCCGATGATTCTGTGATTCTGTACACAGCCCTCTTCGAGCAGGGTCAGCCGGTTCAATGAGCCCAGGGGCCTTGCTCCATGCTTTGAGCATCCTCAGCTTCTTCAGATTATCTCTGTCACTCTTTGATCCCCCTCATGATTAAAAGATCTTCTACAATATCGGGTCAGGATTTCCCTTATTGCAGCCTCCATCTCCCTGACATCCTCCCATGAGTAGCTGCAGAAAGCAACAAGATCTTCCCTTCACCTTCTCACCTTAACGCTGAACAAACCCTTTTCAAATTCCAAGGAAATGTTCTAAGTAACAACTCTCTCAGGACTTGAAGAATGGGATTTACTTTTGTATTGCAACACTTGTCTGTGATAACTGACTCACGTGAGACCAGAAGAAAAAATATAAATTCTTACAAGTAATGTTCAAACTTGAGTCTCTGTGATAAAAAGATACCATTCAAATTAAAGCTCATAGAAGAGGGAAAAGAAGCAGAATGGGAGAAAACACATATTAGAGCTGATATTTTCAAGATGAAATTGAACTGATTTAACATATCTTACCTTTCCAATAGAAGAGGAGATAATGGAGAGGTGAAACTAACTTGAGTTCAATGGACTTCCATGAACTTCCACTTAATAATGTTTTTCTGACGTACTTCAAAATGCCCCAAACTGAAATTCTTGAATGGGCCTGAATAATGTTTTAAAATGACATTGGTTTGGAATAAAAATAAGGCCGGGGCGGGTGGGAGGCCCGGGGACCGCCGCCCGGCCGGCGTCCGACCCCCGTGGGGCGCATTTCCTCCGCGGCGCTGCGCCGCGACCGGTTCCGGGACGGCCGGGAAGGGCTTCCGGCGGGCAGGTTGGACCGGCGCCGCGCGAGGGGGCGGCTGGGTGTTAGAGCCGCCTGGCCCCGATTGTCGCCGAATCCCGGGGCCGAGGGAGAGGGATTCTGTGAACTGGTATGGTCATTGCAGCCCAGGTTGCCTCCGATGTTAAAATCTATAATGATCTCCTCTTCATTGGTGACTATCATAATGCTATCATTTTAGATAACTTTATATTTTTAAAGACACCTTTAGGTCACAGTTTATCTCATCCAAGAGTAAACATATACATTCAGTCAGAAATTGGTTTGGAATAAAAATAATGCAGTAATTTATACATATTAAATATTTAAAACTTTCTGTTGTTGCTCACACACATTTGTGATATACTATCTGTCTTTATAAACCAATTATATATGATAGCATTATAAATAAAATATATACTAATTTGGGGTTTCTCTGTCAGTAGCTGATGGTACTAAAATCTCATTTGCTTAAGGATTAAATATTTTCCCTCCAGGCTTGCCAGCATTTTTAAACCTTCCTGATATCTGCCAGGAGAAAAGAAAAAAGAAAAAGGAAAGAAGAAAAAGGAAAGAAGAAAAAAGAAAAAAGAAGAAAGAAAGAAGAAGAAAGAAAAAAGAAAAAAGAAAAAGAAAAAGAAAAAAGAAAAAA